AATCTATATATATATGTATATGCTTATGAACATACTAACAAACATACATAAATTACAAAATAGGCATGTAGTCTCACACAGAACGAAGCACAACTAACAAACCTTGGGACTATCTACATATACATATATACATATATACATATATATATATATATATAAATATATATATATAGTTATATATATACATACGCTTATGAACATATTAACAGACATTCATGCAATACAAAATAAGTATGTAGTCTCACACAGACTGAAGCAAAATTAAAATACCTTGGGACTCTCGCTACATCCGCTGGGAAGTGGCTGTCCCGATTTAACGCCACTGAGTGCCTCGTCAAGCGGTAACGCGGAATAATTCTGTACAAAAATGCAATACCAAATATTAAGGTGAGCTTCAGTGCCATCAATTCTATTCCCGGATGTTAATATCAAAGTGGTCACTCGGGCCGTATACGCCCGTCTATGCATGGTGTATGGATAAACTACTAGCTAAATAATACGAAAGCGAGTTTCGTTATCGCAATACAGACGATAATTCCGAAAGACGTACTGAAACAATCGCAACATCTAAATCAAGGATATGCTATGAATACCAATAATAGTTAAACCAAATGGGCAGCACAATTCCACGTGACCATAAGCGTGCATATTCGCACACATGAAATTCAAATGTAGCAACAAAATTATATTTGCATACAAGAATGTGTTCGATTCAACTCGAATAAACATTCAGCAAAACATACATTAGTTCGTGAACAGGATGTCCATTTGTAAACAATAAAAAAAGGTGAACGGAATACATAAACCACAAGAATGAGTATATACATACATATATACATACACACATACATGCATATATATATATATACACATATATATAATTATATATACATACATATAATTTTATACAAAATTATATATACATATATATAATTATATATACATATATATATATATAAATATACAAGCTTCTCAATCCATGAGTATGTAGAAAAAAATTACGGTCGACTTACCAACGCAGGTGGTATCGTCAAAGATATAAATATATAAATATATAAATATATAAACTAGATA